ATCAAACCAAGGTAAATTAGGAGGGAGATATTTGTGAAAAGCATTTTATAGGGGTAATCCCAAACTCGAGGTGATATAATGGATGGTTTTTATAATTTTCCCAATTAGCACTTCGTCTTTCCCTTCCAAACGACAAACGGTCACTGAGGGCATGTTCAACTACAATAAATATGTCATTCATAAGAGCACCACATATCCCGTCTCCCCGACTCCCCCCACCAGGCCACCACTCAAACCTTATCCTCCCCTCCCCTCTCTCTCTCTCCCCCTCCCTCTCCTCGGAGCCTGCAAGGAGAGCCAGCGCGCGAGGTCGGCTCGGCTGGGTGAGGAGGAGAAGGTCCGGCGGCGGCGGCGGTTCGGGGGGGGGGGGGGGGAGGGCCGGCGACGGCTAGGCGAGGAGGAGGTGGTCCGGCGGTGGTGGCGGCTCGGCGGGGAGGGCCGGCGGCGGCGGCGGTTCGACGGGGAGGTCCGGCGGCGGCTTGGCGAGGCTCGGCAATGAGGGTCAGCGCCGATGAGGAGGTCTGACGGAGGCGGCTCGGCAAGGTGGAGCTAGCGGTGGCGGCTCGGCGAGGCAAGGAGGGCCTGAGGCGGCTGCTCAGCGACGAGGGACGGCACCGATGATGAGAGCCGGCGGCAGATCACCCTCCCTCCCTGGTGTGGTCGTCCCCTCCCTTCCTCCCTCTTTCCTCTCTGATCGGCCCGGAGGGGGGAGGCCGCCGGCGGCGGCGGCATGGCCCTCCCATTTGTAGCAGTAAAGGGCAGCAGGGAGAAGGCCGGCGGTGACGGAGCTGCACCCTACGATGATTGTGTTTTTTTATGGGTTAATTGGATCCATGCCATTGTAAATTTACCCAATTAAAAATTTACTAATAGTATTCATGAAATCGGGTGGATGCCACTGAACCTTTTAAAAATTAGAAACATGCCACTCTGTCACGATTTCTGATAAATCCTCCGTTAACCCTAACCGTGGGCATCAAACTGCCCTCAAACCGTGGCATCAAATTGCCCCCAAACCGTGGCGTTAAATCCTCTGACTTCTTCGTTTTCCATCTCTCTTCAGGGTCTCCTCCTGTGATTTGCAGGGACGACGCCCGAGGGTGGAGGCGACGGCGTCGGCCTGGCAGCGACGTGCGGCCGCCTGGCAAGGCGCTACCGATACGCGTGCGTGACTGACGGAATCAAGGTCTTAACTGCAATTAGGATTACGAGGTGTTATGAGCAGGATCTAACGAAGAGGTTTTTCCCTTATTTGCCATTAAAAAAGATGGTGCCTTCCTCTGTGCCACTAAAAAGTTCGAGCCTCCCTCTATGTCATCGTCGAACTTTATGGTGCCCTCCACACCATTCCGTCGCTCCGTCGCTATTCTTTTTGGGTTACCGTTTGGCAACTCTGTCATGTGGGCCCGGGCAGGAAAAATATCGCTCTTGCCCTTTCATTCTCTCTTCTCCCTCGATTCCCCTCTCTCCACCGGCCGACACCCAGCCGAGTGTGGCCGAGCCGCTGGACGCCCGCGCCACCACGCCGGCCTCCCCTTCCCTCGTCACCGCCGTCTCCGCCGAGCCGAGCGAACAGCTCCTCCAGCTTCGCCATGCCGCGGATCCGCGAACCCGTCCACGTTGCGGTGGCGGCTCTGCCTCCGCTGCTGACACAACACGAGCAGCGAGGAGGACAGTGGCCTCCCGCTGACAACCTCCGCCTCAGCCCTGATGGCGTGCTGGTCATCGTCGTCGTTGCAACGCTGCCGCCCAACTACAAGACGAAGTCGAAGCAACAACCCTCGCGCCGCATCACCGGCGATGGCGTCGCCGTCCCCGGCAGCGTGGCCGCAGCGGACGCCCGACGAGGTGGAGGACATCATCACGCGCAAGATCCTCCTCATCGACCGCCTCTCCCTCTCGGACCAACCCGCCGGCAACCCCTCCCCCTTTGCCTACCTCGCCTCCTCCTTCCGCCACGCCGCCGACAAGGCCTGCAAGATCTCCACCATCCGCGACGCCGCCCTCCGCGCGCACCTCGCCGCCTCCATCGCGCACCTCCGCGGCCTCATCCTTTCCTACGCCCGCATCGTCGTTGGGAACCCCGACACCTTCCCTTCGCCACACAACGCGCCCCACCCTGCCGCCGAACTGCTCGTATTCCTCCTACCCGTGGCCGCCGCCGTCGTTGTCGCCACGCCGCCGTCTTCTCCCCAGTGCCGGCAGCGGTGGCGAACTGCGCTTCGCCCTGCAGGAGCCCACGTCGGCCGCGTCCGTCCCCAGGCGCTGGCTCGCCTTCTCACTCCTTTGCTGCTGTTGCATTTGAGGGGAGAGAGGAGAGTGCTAGGATGCCTAAGGGCAATTAAGTTATTTGGCTGCGCCGTTACCCACCGTTACAACAAAAACGGATGGAATGGTGTGGAGGGCGCGATAAAATTCGACGATGGTATGGAGGGAGGCTCGAACTTTTTAGTGGCACAGAGGAAGGCATCATCTTTTTTAATGGCACACAGGGAAAAACCTCTCTAACGAACTAGTGGAAAATCGCAAGCACTTGATGTTCTCCCTGCCATCAAGCATTAGAATCAGACAATCAACATGCTCCTTGTTTTCACAGACGGGAGCATGAACAAAGGATTAAGCAACGGTCGACACTAGATACCTCTTGATGCTTTTTTCTATTTTTAGGCGTGGAGTTTCTGAACTTTGCTTTGTTTCTGTTTGGAATCTGGTGATGGCGCTAGCGCATATGTACCAAGTGGCCGTCGCTGAAGCAGTGGACGGATGAGGCGGTGGCAGTGCGGGTGGCCGCAGAGGGTGTGGTTTGCGCGATGAAGCTGGCCGCGCCGCGCCTATACCTGTGGTGCACGCGCCTCGGCGGCAGGAGCTTGGCGCCGTCCAATTATCTAAGGGCTGGCAGTCTGGCACTTCGCCGGCCGCCGTGATGCAGCGCCCCGGGTTGCGCTGATGGATGGGTTGACAGACTCTACTAGAAAAACTATTTTTTACGGGCGGCCAAAACATGTTTTCGCGGGCGGCCAAACCATCCGCACGTAAAAATCATTAATTTTTCCAGACGGACCAAGCACCACCCGCGAAAATCATTTTCACATGCAGAAATTCAATTTTCCCACGCAACAGCAGCCCCGCCTGTGAAAATAGTTTCAGCGCTAAAAAATAATTTTCGCCGCCAAACCAGCCCGCCCTCGGGTTTCACCCACAAATAAAAAATTCTTATTCATTCAACAAAAGACAATCACAAACATCCATTCATCAACACAATCTATACATGAACACAAATGCATCGGATTCAAATCCACAACACCGACTTGCATTGCAGCATCAATCAAAATAAAAACAAATAAAAAAAGGGTTAATTAGATCCATGCCATCACAAATATGTCGATTCAGAAAAATACCACTACAATTCGTCTATTCGTAGCCGTGTCATTCAAATTTTATAAAATTGGAACAGTGCCACTGCCGTCACGTTTTCCATCCATCTCTTCTTCTTCCTGTTTTCTTCTTCTTCGTCCCGTCTTTGTCTTCTTCCTCTTTCCTTTTCTTTCTTCCCTTTTTCCCGGGTGCTGTTCATCGTCACCATGGCCGCCACCGCGCTCACCAAGGTGAGGCGGCTCCTTGTGGTGGGCGTCAACGACGGTGAGGAAGAAACCAAGCAGGAAGGAACCAAACAAAACTCAGGACCAAGCAAAGAAAAATATATATGTGATTTTTATTTGTTGCTTCCACGGATTCGATCCTGGAATCCAAGAACATGGTCTCCAATCTTTTCAGGCAAAAAAAGTAGGGATGGATGGATGAATGCGTAAGGATCTGGTGGGCTGAGGGGATTGGATCCAAACATACAGTATGAGAGAAGAGAGAAGTGAAATGAGAAGAAGGACGTCGACTTGCACGGCCGGAGGAGTAGCTGGTGGTGGCAGGGTTTGGAGCGGGGGAACGAGACGACCGTCATGCGGTGCAGCTTGTAGTGCTCGTGCTCGTGCGGAGCGGATGCGTGCCCCGCTCGCCGACGCCCTTGCCGAGGAGCACTCCTCCTGGGTTCCTGGGTTGCCCCTTCCCCCATCCGTCGCTGTGCCCTCCTCCTCTGGCGCTGATTCATCCGTCGAGGATCTCCTCGCGCTCATCTACTTCGGCTCCCGGCCCTCTTCTACGTCAAGCTGCCGCGGAACCCCCACGGGAGCCGCTGGAGCCGGTGGCTGTGTCCTTGCAGGCCGCCGCCGTGGAGGATTGCCGCCCCTTCTTCGGTGAGCAAGTCGACCATGACGATGACGAGACAGATGGCACACCGGGAAGAAGACGGGAGGAAGAAGAAGAAAACGGAAAAAAAATGAAATGGATAGAAAACGTGATGACTGTGGCATGATTTTCAATTTTGTAAAATTTTAATGGCACGATTATAAATAGATGGATTGTAGTGGTATTTTTTTAAATCGATATATTTGTGATGGCATGGATCTAATTAACCCAAATTAATACCACTATATTCCATTTGGATGGCCTCTCCCCCTCCATCAGTCATCAGACCTTTACCACGTTTTTCATATCACACTCCTCTATATATATTTTTATAACATTTTCCAACTATCACTATATTTATAGATTTCTTTTGTGTATAAGTATACATGTATATATCTAAGTGTTGTGATTAAAACAACCACCGCCATATAGCTATATTTATAAAGATATATCGTTATCAAATAAAACAAACTACAAGCAAACATATTCGCAATATACTAATTCATATTATTTGATATTACAGTACAATATGCTATAATACAATACTAACATTAATTGACAGTAGTTATATTTCAAACTAAACCCGTGGTTATCCTCCTCGTTCCGCTCGAGCCACAGCGAATCTTTTTGTTCATCCGAGAAACAAGCATGTGGCACCATGTGACGCTCCTCCAGATTCCAAACTCAAATCAATCCATATAGGAGTAGATCTCTAGGTCTCTAGACTAGCTAGTTTAATCCATTGGCATTTAAGAAATGAACCCAGGGGTTCATAACATAGCATATGCACAGTTAATTAGTTTCCAAATGGACGGTGTGACAAAATGCTACTATCTTGTGCTCACACTAATATGCGAATGACCACCATCTTCACTTCTTCGGTGTTGGGTTCCTGTTGTGTTCGTGAGTAGGACTGCAGCGTTGAGAGGTCGCTGCAGCCAGCGCTTACGCTACTCATGGTGAAATTGGTGATAGCGTGGGCCTTGATAACAATTAGTAGCAAAGCTTGCTTCGACCGATTAGGTGAGATAGCCACTCGGTTGTTACTTTGTTGCCTGCTCAATCTAGTATTCTAGTTTCGATTTGACATGCTAGATATGGATGGAGTTCTTTTTCTCTTATCCAGATGTTTTCTCCCATGTTTTTGTGTTGCTTGGTCATTCCTGATCGATTAAGTGCAGCTGTGTGACCCGTGCAGGCATTCAACCCCAGATTTTCGAGCAAGAGCTCACTTGAAGATAGATAGGTCAATATGAACGTTGCCACAGGGGCAATGAACACCCTACTCCCCAAGCTTGGGGAGCTGCTGGTAGGCGAATACAAGCTACAAAAGGGTGTCAAGGGAGAGATCGAAGAACTTGAGAAAGAGCTGACAAGTATGACCGCAGCCCTCCACAAGGTGGCTGAGACGCCTGCAGATAAACTTGATAAGCTGGCGAAGATCTGGGCCAGCGATGTCAGGGAGCTGTCTTACGACATCGAAGATGCCATCGACACCTTCATGATAAAGGGCAAGGGGCATGAACTTGCCACGAGCTTCAAGAAGGTCACCAATTTGTTCAACAAGTTCAAAACTAACCATCAGATTCACGGTGTCATCAAAGATATCATGGACCAGGTCAAGAAGGTCAGCGAGCGTCGTAGTAGGTACATAGTCGACGACATCGCTGCCAGACCAACTATTGTGGATGTTGATCCTCGCCTAGAAGCTATGTACCGGAAGGCAACAGAACTCGTTGGCATTAATGAGCCAAAAAGTGAGCTAACTAAGCGACTCTTGGAACATGACTACTCATCCAGGCAGCAATCAAATATAATTTCTATTGTTGGATTCGGAGGCTTGGGAAAGACAACTCTTGCCAATTCATTACTCCAGGAGCTTGAGGCAAAATTTGATTGCCATTTTTTTGTTTCGGTATCCTTGAAACCTGATATAAACAAGATTCTCAAAAGTATTCTTCCCCAACTTGACAAGAAAAGGTATGCCCACATAAATGAAGCATGGGAAACGAAGCAGTTCATTGATGAAATTCAAGACTTCCTCAAGAATAAAAGGTGCATTTCTATGTTATACCTACTCTTTATCATTATTTGAAGACACTTTTTGTTGTTACGATTAAGGATCCTGACTCAAGTTCTTATAATATTCTAATATAATCACGAGTCCTGTCTCAAATTTTTATAGTATTCTAGCTAATATAACCGGATTTGTAAATAAAGTTTTGGTTGTCCAATGGAACACACAATTATTCAGAAATTTGCTCTGTTTACGCATAATTAAGTTTTTTTTGTGACTGTGAATAGAATTTTACAAAGCTGCAGTTATTGTGTCAAAATTGCTGGAAAATTGCCCATGTAAATTTGTACTTCCTCCGTTTCACAATGTAAGTCATTCTAGCATTTCCCACATTCAGATTCATTTGTCAACACTATATAAAATACGACATAATCACTTAATAACATGTAGTAACTGGAACAAATCACGATATTTAGACAGAAGATTGAAACATGGAGATCTTGTCAAGCTATTTTATAGGAGAGTTTAGAAGTTAAAAACAAAGATTCTCTCTTATGAGACAAAAGATAATAATTCTATGGTTCGAATTAGAGAAGTTTGATAGCCATGCATTGTCGATTGACAAACATACTATTTAGTTTTCTCATTCATATTTTAAATCACAGCGTAATCTTTTCTTTGTAACTTCTAGAAAATCTTGCTTGCAATCACTTTGCTAATAATTTGATAACACCATTTTCGATATTCAATGTGCAAGATACATATTCCTGTCTTTTTTGGATAGGCTTCACATGATTTATATCTAGGTTCAATAACATGTTTATATGCTACCATCATTAGGTTCTTGTGCGTGATTGATGATGTTTGGGAAAAATCAGCGTGGGATGATATCAAACTTGCTGTGCAAGATGCTAAACTTGGTAGCAAGATAATTGTAACCACACGAAACATGGTCGTTGCTGAACATGCAGGTGGTGGTGTTTATGAAATGAAACCCTTATCTAATGATGATTCCAGACAATTGTTCTGCAAACGAATATTTGACTCTAACGATGACTGTCCAGGTGATTTGTGTGGTGTCACTGAGAAAATTTTGAAGAAATGCGGTGGTGTACCGCTAGCCATCATTACTACAGCATGCCTACTTGCTAGCAAACCAAGGAATTCAGAGGAATGGGACAAGGTCAATAAGTCTATCAGTTTGGGGCTTGAGAACAACCTTGATGTGGACAACATGCGGAAGATATTAAGCCTCAGTTACAACGATCTACCTTTTCATTTGAAGACTTGCTTGTTGTCTCTAAGCAAATATCCTGAGGATGAGCTAATTAGAAAAGATGTTTTGATATGGGGTTGGTTAGCAGAGGGTTTTATTACAGATGAAACACGACTTGCAGGGACAAGCTTGCAGGAGATTGGAGAGAGCTACTTCAGCGAGCTCATCAATCGAAGCTTGATCCAGCCGATGGATACTTACTTTCAATACGAAGATGGTAAGGTACATGAGTGCAGAGTACATGACATGGTGCTTGAGCTAATAAATCAGCTGTCAGCGGAAGAAGATTTTGTTACAACGTATTTATCAGATGGTCAACAAGCAGGTAAATGTACATGTACAACACAGAAGAAGAAGAAGATTCACCGACTCTCTCTCCATAACAGCAACAAATCTTATGCCTCACCAGAAGCAAGAGAACAATTGTCCAAAGTAAGGTCACTCACTATCTTCGGCAAGGTCGACTCGATACCACCCTTGTCGAGCTTTCATGTCCTGCGTGTGTTGCAGATTGAGGACTGCAGTGGTATGGGCAAGAACCATTTTAGTGATCTTGGCAAGCTACGCCTCCTAAGATTTATGCGTCTAGGGTGCTATAGTGCCACCGAGCTCCCTGAAAGCATTGGAAAACTAGAATCTCTCGAAACCCTGGACATAAGAGGTGCTAGATCAAGAACACCATATTATTCTTTTAAATCTCCTAAGGTAGTGTTTCCAATGTCTTTTGTCAAACTAAGGAAACTATTGCGGCTATTTGCTGGCGAAGTGAAGTTGGCGCAAGGTCTGATGCTAGGAAATATGAAATCTTTACAGGAGCTTGAAGTAGAAGCCACACCGGAGGTAATAAAAGAGATTGGTTATTTGAAAGAGCTAAGGACTCTTAGGATCATTGTGAACAGTCAAATCAGTGAGACATTAGAGTTAGTGGAATCCATTCAAACATCTATAAAAAGGCTCACCAATTTGCAAGACCTGGATTTGAGACTAAGTGGTGTACGAGAAACCATAGACATGCAACAGATTCCTTCCGGCCTCCAAAGGTTGTTCATGTTCCGTTTGGACATGGAGGCATTCCCATGTTGGATCAATTCGTCAATGCTCTCCCGCCTCACCGCCTTATCCATTTTGCTGAAGTCTGAATATCTCCAGCCTGACCACCTTGATCGCCTCGCTAAGCTTCCATCTCTTCGTTTTCTGAGGCTAGAATTAGAAGGTGATCCGTTTCGGCTGAAACAACTCACTATCCACAGAGGTGCATGTGCATTCCGGAGTTTAAAATATTTTCACCTTTATAGCTACATGATGCCATCGTTTCAACCAGGAGCTATGCCTCACCTTGAAAGGCTTTGTCTTCTGATTATGACTTTTATAGTGAGGGGTGACTTGAATGATTTAGGTTTGGAGAACCTCCACTCCCTTCGTCATGTAACCATTCATTCCTGTAATGACGAAACCAAGGCTGTTGTTAAAGAGGCACTTAAGGACTGTCCTAATCAAGCAGCTCTCGAATTATACTGAACTAAAAGCTTCACTCAGGTACTTAGCTGATTTCTTCCCCTAATCAACAACCTTCTTTCATGTAGCCGTTATGTAATGCTAGGTCCTCCAAGCCTCCCACTCAACGTTTTTAATTAATATGATGTATCTTTATGAACATTAATTTGTTCAGAACTTTAGTTACTATATGTATGTTTTCTATCTTGGCTTGGTGTACAGTAATGAATGATGGGCTTTGTGCGTCTTTGATGCAGCTGCCGCGTTATTCATTATCTTCAATAAAAAAAAATATTTACAAACGTTAGCATATCAGCATGCAATCAACTTCTTACTCCTAGTTATACATTCTTTTTTTTTAATTAGATCAATGCCATTACAATGTCATCTCTTTTGAAAAAAAAATTGTGCATTTAGAGACATGCTATTACAATTTGATAGAAATTGGAGATATGTCACTACTTACCTCTTCAATGTATTTTTTTTAAAAAAAATAGATCAAATTACCCCTGCTTCCCACATCCCTTTTTTCCTTCTCCCTCTCTCCAATATGCCATCTCTTCCACCGGTCCAATCCCTATCAAGCCCGCTGGCCTCTCGACCTCCAGTGACGCAAGTGGTGAGATTCCGCCGCATGACGGCCAGCGTGTCACGTAGCTCGTCCAATGTGCCGCAGTGGACGATTGAGGAGGTAATTTGGTCAAATTTTTTTTTATAAATGTATTGAAGGGGTAAGCAGTGGTATATTTTCATTTTTTTTCAAATTATAATGATATATCTCCAAATAGACGAATAATAATAGTATTTTTAAAGTTGAAGAAGTTGTAATGGTATGATCCAATTAAACTTGTTTTCCCTCCGCCTATGTTGTGAACACGAAGAACTATTATATTGAGATGATTTCTTTTACGCCATTGCAGTCAACCATGTCACGTAATCTGACATCTCAATTGTAAATAAGGTTTATATGCATGGGTCACTCGAGTTAAATTCCAACTAGCCAAATTGCTGCGCATTTGCATGGTTAGATATTTGCATGCACTAAAACTACAGTTTCTTTTATCTGTACAACATAAATCATACAATTGAGATTTTTTTTACCTTGTACTCCGTCCTTTTCGCACTACAAGTCAATAGTTGGTTTTTCCTAAGTCAAACTTATTCAAGTGTAACCAAATAACAATATTTTCAACACAAAGTAAAAATACAGTAAAAAAATATATTCAATGGCAGATTTAATAAAAACTAACTTGGTATTGCAGGTGTCCTACTCGTCACATAATTATGGTCGATCAGTATCACCTATCATCGTAGGCCCAACAAGGGAGCGCACGAACAACATGCGACACAGCAGAATGGGTGAAATTATCGGCTTATCTATCTATCTACTAGTTGTGTTTTGGTTGTTTCCATTCCATGAAATTAGAATCGAGTTGTTTAGTTGGCTCTATATAAAGAGCAGTACTATGTTATTTGGAATTCAAGCAAGAAGCTATAAGGCCCTGTTAGTTTTCATATTATTCATGGGATTGTTGAAATGGTTTATTTACTCCACGGTTTGAAATATATATTCTCCACTGCATTTGTTAGATCACTTGTTTTAAGCTATATGTCAAGTTTATTTTCAAAAATATTTAATGCATTATACAAGAGTTTCATGTGCATATCTATGTGGATATATAGACCGAATTTTTGTCCATTATCTTAAAGAAAAAAGATAGCTGGTTCAGCTACTTGCTAACAAATTAAGTAAAGCTGCGAGATAGTCCGGCTCTGGGGAGTATGACATCTCTACTAGAGCTATTAGGCGTCTATGCTACCCAGAATGCACTGCATGCCATTGGTAACCTGGGAGAGCTAAGTTTTTGGGTGTGTTTGAAAGAAGAGGGAAAAAGAAAATTGAAAAGATATACAAAACGAGGTGAGACATTAATGCATGGTTAGTTGACTATTAATTATTTCAAACCTAAAAAATAAATTAATATGATTTTATAACTTTTGTTAAAAAAAACTGTTTAGCAGTTGGGAAGCGTGCGTGTGAAAACAAGGTTCCTTAAGAGTTGTGATCGAGGATGAACAAAGGGTGCTGATTCTGAATTTTTATGTAGCAAATCTTTAAGGGGCAATTTCGTTTCTGCCCCCACTTTAGTGTCCAATATTGGGGTTTTCATTTTTGCCCTCACTTTTTTGAACCGAACAATGTTTTTGCCCCTGTTTTGGATGGAAAAGTTAACGGTGTTAAATTTTTAGCAAAAGGACATTTATACCCTCTCCTATCTCTATTCATTAATTGTGTTTTTGCCCCCATTTTATGCATGCTTTGAAAATTTAAATTCTTGGCAAAAGGACATTTAAATGACCCACATTGACTAACATAACAATTGGCACATATTCTGAATTTGATGGAATTTCTACAAAATTTTAGCAGCATTTTGACAAACTGAACAATTTTTTGACAAAATTTCAACATCATCTCGGCCGACGCCCCCTGCTGGACCTGCAGGTCGCCGCTTGGCCGACGCCCGCTGCCGTCCGGCCGATGCCCGCCGATGCCTGGCCACCGCCCGGTTGACGCCCGGCCGCCGCCCGGCGCCGCCTAGTCGACGCCACCTAGCCGACGCCCGCCGCCGCCTGGCCGATGCCCGCGGTCGCCTAGCTCCCTCCTCGCCGCCTAGCCCCCTCCTCGCCGCCGCCTATCACTCTCCCCGCCGTCGCCGCCGCCTACCCCTTTCCCGCCGCTGCCTACCGCGTAGCCTCCTGTTCGCCGACAGGAGGGGCTGCGGTGCTGCGCCTGGCCGACGACCTCTTTGCTGTCGACGCAGGCGCCCGCTCGCCACCGCCTTCCCCTCTCCCGTCGTCGAGCCCTCTCCCCGCCACCGCCTACCATGCAGCCTCCTCCTCGCCGGTGAGAAGGGCTATGCTGCTGCGCCTGGCCGACAACCCGCTCGCCGCCGCCTACACCGCCCACTCGCCGCCGCCTACGCCGCCCAGATGGGTTTTGGCCGTGGTCATATCCGAGAGGAGAGAAGAGACTGTGGGTTAGATATTTCCTAGGGGTAAAAAGGTAAATCACAAAATCAAAAAATATTTATTTCCTTTATTTCTCTATTTCTTTATTGCCATAAACCCGGTCCCACAAACTTCCGTCTAAACCAGGGGTAGATGCCTCTTTCGATTAAAAAAATAGGGGTAAAAACGAAAACCCTAAAAAGTAGGGGTAAAATCAATATTGGATACTAAAGTAGGGGCATAAACGAAATTATCCCAATCTATTTCTTTAATGCTCTAGCAGTGTTTCATTCATCATTGTTTTGGGGTATGTACTTCAATGAATTGTTTTTTTTTTAAAAGAGGCATATATGATGCGAGTGACTTGGTTATAAATGTTTCTTTCCCTGTCTATATTGTGAACATAGAATTATTACATTTGTTGGCTCTTAGTATTATTTTACACCTTTGATTGGGTTTGGCATTGTAAAAGACCACAAGCTTTCGTCCAATAAAAGTCAAGAGATTTGCAAAAGCAAATTATGAAGTCACAACCCACAAAGAGATCAACATTCCCTATGTTTTAAAGCTTTTGCTCATGGAACGTGTCGTCTATTTCACACCATTGTTATTATTCCTGTCGTGAGCTATATGTTTTTCCAAGATCCCGTCTGTTCAAATTATTTTTGTGAGAATCTATCACAATTCACAACAAAGGCTGGAAGATTGTACTTAAATTTGTAAGTGCTTGATGTTTTCTTGCATTTACTTGTACTTAAATTTGTAAGTGCTTGATGTTTTCTTGTATTTACTTGGGAGAGTTAAGATTAGTTAGGACTTAGGATAACATTTGGCTGTCAAGAATTGACATCCAGTAACAACACTTCATCAAAGTCTAGCACGATAGAAGAAAATAGGTAGGAATAAAAATTCCTCAACACTGACGTCCAGTAACAATTGACAACCAGTCAGTATCAAATAGGTGGGAAAAAAATATTCCACAACGTTGACGTCCATACATCACAACTGTGAGTATAACTTTGAGTATTTGAACCATAATATTGTTTTTCTTGTTCATCAGTTGTTACCTGTTTTGGCAGCAAACACAAAAACTGCAGAACGATCGGCTAATCTTATATTATTGATTCATTTCCAGAGTAGAGGATAAACTACAGACTAATAACAAGGGTGATATATAATGATAAGAGAGAGAAGAATAATTAAGATAAACTGCCATGTTGTTCATCACAATTTCAACATAGTTTTGTTGCTGGTTGCCCTGTCGCAACCTTTGTGATGTTCTTCAGCACTGAAGTAGTGGCATACCCTACAGAAAAGAAAGACTAGCAGTCTACCACTTAAAAGAAAAACTATTAATCTGAACCTCCTATCTTCTTTTGTCTCTTGGTACCAGGCCTTGCTATTTCATCGTACACCTGGCATTCAGGCTAGGAAATGAACTAGTAGAACTCATACTAGTAGGCCTTTTTCCCGTCTTGTACAATTCAACTCTGTCGATTTTCCATACACAGCTCAGAATTTGAAGTGATCAGAGAGGAACTCTGTTGCGTTTTGCGAACTTACTGTAGGTTCATCTGAAGATCATGTTGCTTGCAGAGGAAAAAAATTTAGCCATGCATGAGTCAAGTACATTGGATCTTAAATATTAAAGGTATGATGATATCAAAATGTTTTTCATAAAAGATTTAAGTTACATTATTTTGTTTTGTGAGAAATAATAATATTTTAGCATATCGATATTTTAGAACGGTGGTATTATTTTTGGGAGTGCTAATCTCAACTAATTAGAGTATTTATTTTGAAATATTATAGAGCTAATCTAACTATGCATGATTGTGAAGTGATATATGATGATATGATCTAATTTATTATTTTATTCACAATTTTTTTTTGTTGTGATGAGATGCAAAAATGTCAGGATATGATTTAAAATAATAGAGAAAATATTTTTTTTGGAGTGTTACTCACGATTGTGTTTTTGTTTTTGTCAAATCTATCATAAATTTATTAATGTATGTTTTGTAAAGTGATCTATGATCATATATACATTGTTGTTTTTTTTTCTAATTTTATTTAACAGCTTCAAGTGCATGCTAAGGTTAGGATATGATAAAAAATAAATATTTCTCATGAGTTTAAAGAATGCAGTAACGTTCTAAATGGTTAATTAAGCACGATGAAATCGATAATAAAGAATGATAAAAAGATTGTGTAATTTAAAGGTTAAGATTATTTCTCTATACATAAATTATTCAAAAATATCTATTATATCTATAAAGTAATAGAAAAAGGAGTCTCCACGTTCACTCTCACGGCCTATAAAATCCCACGTTAATCGAAAGAAAAAAAATAGAAGGAGAAGTACTTTGCAAAAAAAAACTTAGAAACGGACAAAAAAAATTCTAATCGGACTAAAAAAACTTGGAAACGGACAAAAAAGAAAAACCTAAGAGCTGAAACGGACAAAAAAAACTTGGAAACGGACAAAAAAACAAAGAGTAAACGGACAAAAAAAAAACATGGAAACGGACAAAAAAAATTCCAATCGGACAAGAAAGAAAAAATTGAAAACGGACAAGAAAAATTAGAAATTCCAATGTTAATCAAGAAAAAGAGAAAAAAATAACCATTGGGTCATAGTAGATCCAGATTATAACAGTTTAGATTTCATATAGGGTGTGTTTAGATTCCAAATTTTTTTTTTCCAAAAATGTCACATCAAATGTTTGGATATATGTATGGAGCATTAAATGTGGATGAAAAAAACCAATTACACAGTTTGCATGTAAATTGCGAGACGAATTTTTTGAGCCTAATTACGCCATGATTTGAGAATGTGATGCTACAGTAAACATTTGCTAATGACAGATTAATTAGGCTTAATAGATTTGTCTCGCAATTTACAGGCAGAATATGTAATTTGTTTTGTTATTAGTCTACATTTAATACTTCAAATGAGTGTCCGCATACTTCAAAATTTTTACACCTAAACAACTAAACATGGCCATAATAGTTATATAGTTATATAAATTTTTTTACGAAAGGTTAAAGTAACTATAGGAATCGGAGTAAAAAAAGCTTGGGATGGAAATGACCAAACAAACCACATATACAAAGTTTATTTCTAATTTAACCAATTGGATTAAGAACTAATGCATTAACTTATTTAAGTAATAAGGGCATGTTTAGATCCGCTGACACGTTTTTTCATCTTGTCATATCGAACGTTTTAACATCTGTATGAAGTATTAAATATAGGCGAAAAATAACTAATTGCACAGATTGCGACTAATTTGTGAGACGAATCTTTTAAGCCTAATTGCTACATGATTTGATAATGTAGTGTTAGAGTAAACATTTGCTAATGACGGATTATTTAGGCTTAATAAATTCGTCTCACATTTTACAGGCGGATTCTGTAATTTGTTTTGTTATTAGACTACGTTTAATACTTCAAATGTGCGTCAGTATATCCGATGTGACAGGACAAATTTTCACCCCTGGATCTAAACACATCCTAAGAAAATTAGACTCTGCGTTTGCTGTCATGGCATAGAAATTCTCATATTAATCGAAGTCCATATAGAAAAACAATTTACATAGATAATTAAAAAATAATGAATATTGGAAGAGAAGGCTAGAGTTCATACTAGTGTACAATTTATAATTAATTGAAATATGAAATTAGAGAAAAAGAATAATAGAATCCATATAGAAATAAAATTTTAAATAGCTGAAATTCGAAATTAAAAAAAGAAATATTGAAAGAAAAAACTAGAATCCATACCAGTAGAACTAACTAAAATTTGAAATTAAAAAAAGAAAATAGTTGACGTATGAGTCTATATAGAAATACAATTTATAATTTTAATTTATAAAAATAAAAAATAAAAAAATATTGAAATAAGAGTTTACAATCTATATAAAAATACAATTTAGAAAAAAAATGAAAATTTGGAATAGAAAATAAGGAATATTGGTAGCTAGCCGCGCAGTTTGCGCGGGCCACAATACTAGTTTTTTTAATTGTAAGAACTTAAAAGGAAAAAAGAGAGGACAAGATATGGAAGGGGGGAGGGGGTGGGTTGTGTACAAACGTACGTACGTGGGGAGGAGGATGGGCTGGTAAGGGGAGAGAGATGGATTGTAGGGTCTCTTTTTGCTAAAAATAAATCTAATAGATAAAAAAGTGGGCCTATTAGTTTATTAGAGAGCCACGTGGCAGCTTATAAGCGTTTGTAGAAGCTTCACGTGGCAACGTGAGAGTGTTTATAGAAAATTTAATGGACTTTTTAGTATATAATATAATAGATAGATAGATAGATTCCTGTTGTGAGCTATATATTTTTAAGATCCCGTCTGTTCATCATATTTATGAGAATCTATCACAACAAAGGCTGGTATATAGTACTTGAATTTGTAAGTCTTTGATGTTTTCTTGCATTTACTTGGGAGTGTTATGATTAGTTAGGACTTAGCGTTCGCGAAAAAAAAAGTTAGGACTTAGGACGATATTAAAAACCGTTGGACATAAGACGAGAGCCACATCAGAATTTATTAAGAGGAGCATGGCTTGAACCCGGGACGGCTAGCCGACACCTTATGGTGCTAGTAGGAAGGCCCTGGGCCTTTCTCTTAGGACAATATTTGGCTATCAAGAATTGACATCCAGTAACAACACCTCACCGAACTACCGAAGTCTAGCACGATGGAAGAAAAATAGGTAGGAATAAAGATTCGACAACATTGACGTCCAAGTAAAATTTGACAACCAGTAGCATTTTCTACAGTATTAAATATAGGTAGGAAAATACATTCCACAACATTGTCGTCCATACATCACAAGTACTATTGATTACTGTACCTACATTCTTAATGTATGACTCTACTACCTACACCCTTAATGTATGATGCTGGTTAGTTCAACATACAAAATAATTCGGAAGGAGTACCATAATAAACTTTTCTTGTTCATAGTTGGCAGTTGTTTTGGCAGCAAACACAAAGAAACTGTAAAATAATCGGCTAATCTTAGATTATTGATTCATTTCCAGAATAGAGGATAAACTACAGACTACTAACAAGGGTGATATATAATGATAAGAGAGAAGAATAATTCGTATAAACTGCATGTTGTTCATCACAATTTCAACATAGTTTTGTTGCTGGTTGCCCTGTCGCAACCTTTTTTGATACTTCAGCACTGAAGCAGTGACATACCCTACAGAAAAGAAAGACTAGCAGTCTACCTCTTAGGAGAAACTCTATGATCTGAACATACTATCTTCTTTTTGCCTCTTGATACTAAGCCTTGCTACTACAGGTTACACCTGGCATTTAGGCTATCCAATGAGTTATAATTAACTCATACTAGTAGAGGCTTTTTTCCCCCTTGTACAATTCGACTCCGTTGATTTTCCATACATACAGTTCAGAATTTGAAGTGATCAGAGAAGAACTCCGTTGCATTTTGCGAACTTACCGTGGGTTCATCTAAAGATCATGTTGCTTGCAGAGGAACATATAGGCGCACGACGATAGTTATCGCGATGGTAACTGCAACTATAAGAGCAAGAATGGCCATAGAATCAGGCCTACGAGCCATGGTCAAAACAGCTCCTCCCATTGCGGTAGCTCCTGCTTTGGTCAGGTCATGCTCATTCAGCTCACCGTTGGTGCAATCTTGCTCTAGCTTCATCCCTGTCTCATTCCATCTAGGATTCACCTGCCCTTTCTTCACCGTTCGCTTAAGCAGAGATGGCACTGAGGAATATGCCAGTGAATTGACCGGTTTAACATATTCTTCCTTAGAATTCTCTTCCTCATGTTCAAACTCATTTTTCTTCATGACTTTTTCTTCTGCTAGTTTCACTTCTGCTGTTTCTGCCATTGGTATGGTCTCTGTTTCTTCTGCGAGTTTCACTTCTGCTGTTTCAGCCATTGATGCAGTCTCTGTTTCTTCTGCCAGCTTCAGTTCTGCTGTTTCAGCCATGGATGTGGTATCCGTTTCTTCGGCTGGTTTCACCTGTAAAGTTTCAGCCACTGTTGAGGTCTCTGTTTCTTCTGCCGGCTTCACTTCTGTTGTTTCAGCAACTGGTGTGGTCTCCGTTTCCTCTTCCAGTTTCACTTCTGTTTGAACCATTGGTGTGGTTTCTGTTTCTTCTGCCGGTTTCACTTCTGCTGTTTCTGCCATCTTCACCTGCTCTGAGACTTGTTCTTGATGCATCACCTTCTCTGTAGTTGGTGTTGTCTCTGTTGATGCAGTATCTTGATCAACACAGTTGTTGTTGTCATGTTCCTCAAGGGTGATGTCAGGGCTGCTGAGGCTAAAAGTGTTTTCCGCAGAATTTTCTTCACCTTCATTTTCCTAGCAATCATAATTCAGAAGAAACAGATAGAATAAATAAGGCCCCTATAAACAAATAGCACATGGATGATCACAGGAAGCAGATTTCCACAAATGTTAAAGAGTTGTAGTAGGAAGACAGTACATTTACAATTATCTCATTCTCGGCATCATTTTTGCCTGAATTATCATCATCCTCTGTCACATTTTCTGTGTCCTGAAGCGAAAACAAAAATGAAGTTACAGAACAAGAAGTGCAATAGGGCTCCTAGAAAATGGCATGCTTTCTATAGCAAAATGTTTTACATGGTTGCAACAACACTCACCATAACATGTGCAGTGATCTCAGCGCAGTCCCTCTCTGAATTGTGATTATATGTCTCAACAGCTTCATTAACCTTAGACCCAAAATTGGCATAAGGAATATGAATTTACAGAGCAAAAGTGCAAAAGGTCCCTAGAAAATCAAACATGCTGCTCAAAGCTAAATGGTTTCATGGTTGCAACAAAACTAACCATGCCATCCGGGGCGATCTCCGCACAGTCCTTGATTGAACCGTGATCATATTTCTCCACAGCTTCAGTAACCTGAAACCCGAAACACAAGAGCAAAAGACAGAATTGTAAAGAACCTACAACAGTGCTCCCACGCATTTTGACTCCTGCAATCGTTCCAAAGATTTACATTGAGAAACAAACCAAATCCTGGCAAAAAGAGAGAGAGAGACAAACCAATTCAGACAGAACGATCTTATCACCATTCGGAACGACCTCATCATCCTTCTGAATCTGATAAAGTTCATCTGTTGCCTTGCCATCCTGAAAGAAACCCAGATGAATTTGCACACGTATCAGATCACTAGAACACCACACATAAATGCATGCACACTGAAATTTTTAACAAATTAGATCAACTGACCGATCCATTGACTCCAACCTCGACGTTGTCCCTGCTCAGATTCTGATAAATTTGATGAAGCCTCTGCGCGTCCCCCTGAATCCACAAGTTTGAATCAAACGACAGGGTCAAAAAAAAACACCAAGGAGAATAATTTCAATTTTCACATGACAAAGGTGAAAGAACAAGGCAGCTAAACTAATGAAGCACCTAACCTGCTCGCCCTCGACAACTCCGCCATCCAAACCACCCTCCTCCTTTCTGCAAAAAAATCCACCAAAAACAAGAACAAAAATAAAGATTAAGATCCAATCTCTTCATCTTCTTCCATCCATCCAAATCAAGAAAATGAGAAAAAGAAAAACACGTACGCTGGATGCTCGCCGTGGTTCTTGGCGCCCTCCTTGCGCTCGCCCTCGCCCTCGCCGCCGTCACTTCGGCAGCGGCGGCGGCACCACGCGAAGACGGCGGCGCCGACGACCGCGCCGCCGACGACGAGCAGCGCGCCGGCGCCGTGCGGCGCGCGGACGCACACGCGCGCCTTCCTCATCCCGCCGCCGCCGCCACCTCTCTCCTCCTCTCTCACCTCTCGCGCCACACCAAGATCACCACCACCACCACCACTTCCCATAAACACCAATTAATGATTATACTAGTACTAGTATTACTCCATTCGCGCGCAATTAAGTGGGGGTTTGGGGGGAGTCCTCGCGCGTGTTCTTGCGCGCGTTCTAGAGAGAGAGAGAGAGAGAAGGAGAGAGAATGGGAGAGGTGGGTGAGGTGTCGAGGTTTTAGGCGCGGCGGGAGGGGCGGTCGGATGGCATGGCATGGCAATGGAGCTCCAAGCGATCAATCCGAGACCCAAAACTCTCGGATCATCATCGCCTAAAAAGTCGTCCTCTCCTTTGATTGGCACCAGCAGCATGAAGATGAGACAAACAGCCTCATCTTTTAGCGTATTATATGAAAAAAAAGTTAAAAGCATATTTGTAAATAATTTTTTTATATCCATGTTCTCGACGATCTACGAATAAAGACTGAAAAGTAAATTACCATGAAAAGATCCCAAAATCAACTTTAAATTTAATGTTGAAGATTCAGATTTTAATCGATAAACATAAGCATAAGCAAAAAGATGGGGCTGAAAGCTATCTGCTTCTCTAATTTGTTTACTAATTGCTTCTTTAATTTTAATTTTGTTTTCGACTAGTTTGAATGCGATGGACTAGTTTGATGTCATGACTTGCTATATAAACCTCTCGTTATTTAATCACATTAATACAGTTTCTAGGGTACGCTATTTATTCGTGAAAGGTGTGGAGATAGAATTGTACTACGATAAATGACAAGTCTGGTCATGTAATTTTTGAGTGAGTTTAGATTAGAATATGCTTCATCACGCTACTCTAAAATTGCTTCGTATTAAAATGGAGAGGGAGTCGTTGACACAAGAGATCACATTTTAGGTGTTTTCAGTGATAAAAGCCTCCAATCTCGCGCTAGACATGTGCTAGGGTGCACCAATGTGAGTATGTGTGAGTATGAGAATGGTGTGTACTTGTACATGTATGCACGTTTATAACTTGTAATTGAAAAGGGGAAAAGAGAAAGTAAAAGAAAAACCACTCTACTGTTTATATAAATCCTACTCATGTTCCATCAATTTTATTTCTGCCAAAAAATGTTGCAAAATCCATTGCGATTTTTGTTTTCCCCGATGGTTTCAGCTTTGTTTGATACATGTTGTAACTTCTGTATATCCGGCTGAACAACCTTTTCTGTAATCTGAATTTCTCATATACCAAATATAATAACAGTTTTTGTTTTGTTTTTTTTTCATTCAAACCGCTAAAAACATCAAAAATGATCACGTCCTATAATCATCGTGAGGGGATCAACAAACCGACGGTCAACCATGTGCTTCAGAGATCAAAACAAAGTCTAATCACGCCGGGCAGAAAATCAACCGAGAGTGCAAAGCAGTGGTCATCGTACCTACATTAGACAGCGACACACTGACACTAAACACTACTTAATACTACAGTAATACTAATTCGTTTGGCTGAAATTTGGCACGGCTGCTTTGACTCAATTTTTTACATATTAGCACTTTTAACAACATATTGTATAAATAGACCCCTAAAAGTTTAGCGTATCCACAATATACATATAAAGTAGATAATACTACTACGAAGTAATTAAGGAATAAAATACTACTACTACGAAGTTATATATACTGTGTAATTAAGTTGTAAGTAACAAATACTAGGAATAAACAAATGATTTCTCTCATCCCTCTCTTATGGTTAGTAGTTGTAGGCCTAGCTTACTACCCACTTTCATTGATGCAGAGCCTAATCTTATTCATAACGTAGGTAGTAAATATTTTTAATACCCTTATAGCATATATGATCCTCTAGCTCAAAGCCAAATAAGATGGCACCACAATCTGACCCTCGGCGCTAGTTAAGTTTAGCGGTTACCTCTACCACTAACAACTTTCTTTCCTAGTCATATCCCTCTCCAAGTCAAATTTTGAAAAAAAAGAGGTATATCAATGTTTACCAATTCATTTTTCGCTTATTTATTTTTATGTAGTAGAAACTTAATCAGGGAGGAGAATGTTGATCCCTTCCACATTATATTATTCTCCAGAGTAAGTTTTTATAAATAAAAACAAATTTGTGTAAATAAATTATGATACATTGATTTGTCATTTTTAAAAAAGTTTTGATAGCAAATTAGGATTTAGAAAGGGGTAGGCAAGAGACCCTAGAGCTGATGTGCAGCTTCTTCCTCTTATAGAATTAGAAGCTCTCTTGAATAGTACAACTCTCTTAAATAGTACAACTTTTCATTTAAATTATGAGAAGTTGTAGTTGTAGATTTTAGAAAATGAATAAAAAGCCAGAAGTCCATAAATCCAGTTTTTTTAGAATCTCAAAAGCTGGCTACTAACTAAGTGATTTTTAAAAAATTTAAGCTCTCCAAACAAGAGTTCATATCTATAAAAACAATTATTTAGAAATCCATTTGTAAAATATGTTCTCTAACAGGACTATATATAGTGTCAAAGAAAAAAAAAATCCAAGCTGCTTTGATTTACAACAGAGCGTGCCACACGTGTAGTACCTCGGTCAAGTCACGTGCGGCTCCCTGCCACGGGCGGCAAGCAAAGCTCTCTCCTCTCGCCGCCGTCCGTCGGAGCTTCCGACACATGTGATGAAGGAGACAAAACTCGCCTCGTCGCTCGAAATGTGGAATCTGCTGCTCGGATCTCCAACAACAGCAATGATGATGGGGATAACACGGCAGGATAATGGTGTTCTGATTGATTGTGAATTCTTAGAGGTAGGGATGCAAGCGGACCGATCCATGAATCTACTTATATATTAAATAAAGAGTAATCTGTGGGTTTTTATGTCATGGATCGGCTTGCCATGTCGCAAATATGTAAGTGGATCAATCTATAAACCTATTTATAGATCAAATTAATTAGTAGGTAATTTACGAGTCAATTTACGGGTTCCTCACTAATTTTACCTGTTTAGGTTCGTGGGTTAGACCGCTTGCAACTCTACTTCAAGGCAAGTTCATGTATACGTCAAGGCACACATATCACACCTATCTCTTAGAAAATCAATTATAAGGATGAAATATAGTGCATATCTATATTTATCTTTAGAATTAAACATTTTAGGAAGATTTACCTTGAATACTTTTTTTCAAGAACACAGAGATGGAGTACGTCCAAATACATCAAAGTATCAAACCTTAACCGGATGAGTAATGCTCGGTCCGTGTGTACGTTGTTTTAAGATAAAACCAATCTACAAATTTCTCTCTTGAAACACAAAAAAATACAAGATTTTGTCAAAATTATTTTCATTTCTAAATAATCCTATAAAGTTATCACGACGAGAGAAGAAAACATCAGCATTGTTTAGATTACTTGTTTTAAATTAAGTTTTAGTTTATAATTGATATTATTTAATTCATCCCTAGAATTATCCATAATCTATCCAATCATCCATAAAGAAAAATCCAGTCAACAAAATTCATCCACAAAGAACAAAGCTAGCAGATATAAGCCCACACCTACCATTTGTTCTGATGCGCCTGTGTATCTCGGGGGCTCCTGCCCCGCGCGTGCACATGGGGGGAGATTAACAAGGGGGCTGTTTGATTCCCAGCCACACTTTGACATTACTTGCCAATAACAATTGTCACACTTTGTCTAAGGTGAGGTGATTAAATTGTTAAACACAACTTACTAAGCCTAAGGGAATCTTGCCATACTTTTTTGAGCCATTGACACGTGGGATCCAATTTGTTGAAGGGGAATCTTGCCACAACTGTGGCTACAACCAAACACCTGTCAAATTTGCCTAACCTTAGACGTGGCAAACTGTGGCAAAGTGTGGCTTGCAACCAAACACACCCTTAAATCGCGCGCGGGGTATCGGTAGCATGGGTTCACTTGTGCGTTTCTCTTTTTGCGCCACGATAAAAAAAAATTCCTTCCCGCATGTTTTTTTTTTCCTTTTTCTGTTTTCTTTTCGCTTTTTCTAGGAAAAATAGCCTCCCTTTTATTCCTTTTTATGGACACGGGAAATTAGGATTGGAATGGAGAGTTAATTGCAGCAAACTTTTAAATCCAAGATTTAAAACTTTTAACTTAGATTTGAAAACTTTTAAGTCAAGATTTGAATCTTTCAATTAAGATTTAAAAACTTTCGATTCGGATTTGAAAACTTCCAATTCAGATTTAAAAACTTCCAATTCAGATTTTAAAACTTTCAAGTAAAGATTTGAAACTTTTAACTCATGTTTGAAAACTTTCATCTTAAAATTAAAATCATTCAACTTAAATTATAAAAACTTCCAAACTTTGAATTAAAATTTTTAAAAAAATTGACTCAAAATTTGAGTTAAAACGTGTGCATGTGGTTTAAAAAATTCAAAAAAAAACATGTGAAAAAATAAAAAAAAATCGTGCACATATGATTTAAAATATCACGAAAAATATTCACGGTGATTCGCCTCTCCACAACGCAGAAAGAAAAAAAAGGAAAAAGGAATTGATGGATGGGCCATGTGCAAGGCAGGACAGAAACGCGCACGACGCGTATGCACTAATTAGCAAGTGTATATGTGTTGGTCATGCATTCTTGACATATAAAAACTGATTCAATACATTACTTCAAATCTCTGCCTGAATGAGTACATCGAGATTATTGTAATCAAGGTAAAAAAAAAAGGACGGGTCCACCAGTCATACAATACAGACAACCATGAAACCAGTGTCCCAGCCCAGATCCTGGAGCATCAAGGAAGAGTTTTTCTGCGATCTAAAGCTGTTCTTAAACTCTAAAAGATGCATCGGTCAGCAAGCCTGGAGTTGGAGCAATGACAAAGGCAAACATGCCATTGTTCTTTGCATATACCAATTGAAAGTGTAGAGCATTTCATTGCAGTCTGGTACAAGGATCACTTGCTCAGAACATAACTGTTTCGATGCCTCATGTTTGCAAATGTTGGATTTTAATCTGAAGATGACAACATTGGTCTAGGAGTTGCCAAACATAAGGATGGCACTGCAGCAATGCAGAGACACCATCGTCAGTACATCTTGGGTATGAAAATTGACGATTATTGCGGGTATCTAACATGGCTTGTAAGCATGCTAGACTTGGTAAGGGCTCCATGGTGTATGATCCGAGGATATTAACACTGCACAGATGATGATATGAGAGCAGGTTTAGTCCTTGTAGACAAGAGGCTTGTTGACCCAACGGATGCGGCAGCCGCAGGCCTGCAGCATCTGGAGCAGCTCAGGAGACAGCACAGACTTCAGCCCACTCAGCATCTTCAGTTTCTTCAGCCTCCCGCAAGCCGCTCTCAGTGCCATCTCGAACCCTTCTATAGAGACCCATGAGAGGTGTACCATCTTAACATCCTGGAGGCACCTCAGGGAGCTTAACAGGTGACACAGGCCCAGGCCAGTGACTTGGCAGTATGATATAGTAAGCTGCAGAAGAACAACCTTATAAGATTATTGTTGTTTCTTTAGAACTTTCAAGGGAATAATCTAAAACTCTGGAGAAAAATTACCTGTCTAAGGTTTAGTGCATATCGGGCAAGAGCCCACAAGCCAGCATCATCGACAGAATAGCAACGCTTCAAGTCTATCTCTATCAGGTTCTTGCAGCCGATGGCAACTGATGAGATTCCAATACCTGTTATACGGACCAAGCACCTCAGTTCAAGGTTTGTGAGCTCCTCTAGAGAGCCTAGGTGGCCCAAACCACTGTCGGTAATCTTGTTGCAGTAGCATAGGTTTAGCATCTTAATCTTCTTGCAGCCATTAGCTAAAGCTGCCAGCCCATCATCGGTAATAGAATTGCAGCTGTTAAAATAAAGGGAAGTCAGGTTACTTTCACATGCAGAAGATGACTGGGAAAGTAAAAAAACAAGAAGAAAATTAACTAACCGATAGAGATCAAGCTCAATCAGCTTTCCACAGCTTGAACTGATAAAAGCAAGACCTTTGTCAGAAATACTTGAGCACAGGCCTAATTTCAGTACAAGCAGTTCAGAGCACTTGGCCAAGTGCTGCAATGCTGCAAAACAAGTGATTTCTTTTACATGATATTGCACAAATAAAAAGAAGGCTTGTAATGAAAATGTGCAAATGAAGCAACAAGAGGTAACACAAACCTGCATCATTCACTCCACAGTCAGTGAGGTCTATCTCCTTTAGATTGGGGCAGGAGGTTGCAATCTGCTCCAGTCCCTTTTCGCTTATGGAAGAACAGGATTCCAAACGGAGATGTTCAACCATCTTACAGTTCTCAGCTATTGAATCAAGGGCATTGTTGGTAAGGAGGTTACAGCATGTGAGATCAATAACCCTTAAGTGGCTGCATTGAGTTACAAGTGAAGAGATTCCTTCATCTGTAACGCCATTGCATTTGCTAAGGCCAATCTCGACCAAGTTATTACAACCACCAATGGCCAGAAGAACAGAGGATGAGACTTCAAGACCATCAAGTCTAAGCACTGTCAAGGTATCCTTCAGTTTTGCCAAGTTGGACAGAAACGACTGTCTCATCTCCTGCAAGTTTCAAACCCAGGATGTCAGTCAGCCACCATCATTTATTATTTATTCACACTTTAAGCCTCTTCACATGTGTTACTCAGATAACCATTTTTTTTCTAACATACATGATTAAATGTGAACAGGCAATCGAAAGCAGGAATGCAAACTCACATGCAAACTATCAGCAGCATTTAACTTCTGGAGAAAATTGTGACCATCTATGAGTGAAGCTAATCCCTGGGAGGTTACATGATCACATCTTGAAACATCAACGCTCTGCAATGAAGGAAAATCCTTGGAAGTTAGAATGGATCAATGTTAACAAACATTCAGTTTCCAGCTAAATAACCAAAGTCCAATTTGTAGAAGAGTAATGAACATATCATAACAGATATAAGAATGTCATAGTTTCCACTTTCTAGGAAACTACAAACTTGAAGCATCCTTACATCATAACTGACATGAAAAATGTGCAATAAAATCCTATAGAAGTAAGTGTCACCATTGTCACACAGTGATTACCTGCAGTGAGTTGCTCCCCTTGCCTAGTAATTCCAGGCCATCATCATCTATGCATGAGCAACAAACCATTGCCAACTCCTCAAGTTTCTCAAGTGAGGATATTGATCTAAGGGATTCATTTCCAACCTGGTCCAGCAAAAAAAAAAATCTGTTTTAGTTTTATAGAACCCAAGTACGTCAAGAACATAACGAAATGGAAATTGTACATCAATGAATAGCTATTCAAGATGGAGCATACTGCAGCAAGGACATAAAGAAGCAAACATCCATAATATCGACGTAAAGCACAACCATTGTACTGTAAATGTTCCTGCTTCCAGTGGTACATTCTTCAACCATGTCAAGAACAGCTGATCAGCTCTATCTGACCTAGTCACCCCATTTGGTTACTACATATCAAGGTTGGTTGAACCCAAGCTCACCCTTTCTAGCCAACTGAATTAACGGAAAAGGACTCATCTTCTTGCCATTTTATTCAGAAGTTATGTCTTGACGAAATGTGATCAAGCCCAATATTAAGTACTCTGAAACTCATGCTCCAGTTACTTCCCTATTAGCAAAACTGTTCTAAACACACCATGAATCCACCATACAGGAATCCACAACAGTAATCTGCTGCAACTAAATGAATCAGGCTCAAAAGAAGCAAGTGTAGATGTCCCATGGTAAATTTCTCGTCTGATTCCAAAAGGACAAGTAACTAGTAGCAAATTGCAAGACTTCAACCTTCTCCAGGTACAAACTTTTTCATATCTGGACAAACCACCATCACACCCAGTTTTGCTGATGTTCCTATTGCCACCAGGCATCGGAATTTAACTTTTTGTACAAACAGAAGATCTAATTCAAGGCAGGCACCAAGATGTTACCACCAGTTTTCTAAGAGAAATTCATACTACCAAACAGAATAAAGATGTAACTTTTCCCACTCCAATTGTTTTCCTTGAAATTTGACCAGTAAATGGCCACTGTTATCCCTTGAAGCAAAAGTTTCACTCAATGCATCCGCTTCTAACCAGAATTAACCAATCAGTAAGCCCAAGCTCCGATGACTGTACATTTTCCATGTCAAAATCAACCCACAACGAACTATCCAAGTCACACTTTACGGCCTTATTTGTCGCCGTGCTGTCGCATATCATTCCTAGTGCTAACTAAAATGAACCTAACAACAAGAAAAGGCCTTACCAGCATATAAAGCAAAGAACAATTTTCATTAGCTCATATGGTAAGAGTATAGTATACCTTGAGGTAGGAGATGTCGAGGCTCCGGAGCTCGTGGCACTTCTTGGAGAGCAAATCGATGCCGATGTCGGAGATCTCGCGGCACCACTTGAGGCTCAGCTTCTCCAGCCTCGGGCACCCGACCACCACCTTGGCGAGCCCCATGTCCGTGACGCCGAGGCACTTCTCGAGGCTCAATTCCCTCAGCCCCGTCGCCGCGGCCAGCGCGGCGGCCTCGCGGTCGCCGGCGCCGACGCAGTGCGACAGGTCGACGGCCTCCAGCCTCGGGCACGCCGCCACGAGCGCGTCGAGGCCGCGCCACCCGACGCCGCTGGCGCGGGCGAGGCAGACCCGGCGCACCCCGGCGAGATCCGCGCCGGAGAGCGCGGCGGCGAGGGAGGCGTCGTCGAGGGAGGCGCAGGCGGAGAGGTCGAGCCGCTCCAGCGCCCGGAACGCGCGGAGGAGGCGCGCCAGGGGCTCGCGGCGGAGCACCCGCAGCGCGCGGCGGTGCGCGGCCTCGGCGCGGGCGAAGGCGCGGCTCACGAGCCTGCACGCCTTGCGGTCCCGCGGCTCCCGCACCCGGTCGAGCACCTGGCCGAGCAAATCCAGCGACAGCGCCGCCACCCCACCTCCTCCCCCACCCCCACCACCTCCATACCTCTGCACCTCCTCGCTCATCGATCCAAGATCCAAGAACGAACGCCGATCGGAGCGGGAGACAGAAACGCTTATGTGGGGATGAAGAGGAAGGAGAAGACAGCGACGAGGGGGTGGTCGTCGGGGAGCGGGAGGCGTCGAGGTCGGGAGGGCACGCAGCGCCGCAGCATGGTAGGGGGGGAGCACCGCACCGCACCACCAGCAGTGACAGCGCGACGCGGCGAGGCCCCTGATCCGGCGGCGGCGGAGGTGGAGGCGGCGGAGGAGGAGGGGGAGGGGGAGGGGGGGTGTACGGACGGCGAGGAGGGGGTGGAGGGGAGGAGTTGAGGTGGGGAAGGAGGAGAGATGGCGCCGGTCGGAATACCGCCTGCCTCAGGTAGGAGAAGGTAGCAACTGAGAGTGGTGGAGGCCTGGAGGGGGGGAGGAAGATGACCGAAATGTCCCTGCCTTCTTCTGTTTCTGTCATTTGTTGTAGTACTAATTTCAGTGTTTTATTTTAGTTTTGTTTTTAGTTTAATCAATGGTTGTTGTTATTGCTCCTTTGGCAGCTTGATCTTTTATATGTTTAGGGTGTGTTTAGTTCACACCAAAATTATAAGTTTGGTTGAAATTAGAACGATGTGACAGAAAAGTTGGAAGTTTGTGTGTGTAGGAGTTTTGATGTGATGGAAAAGTTGGAAGTTTGAAGAAAAAATTTGGAACTAAACTCGACCTTAGTGTCTCATAATTGGTTGTCCTGATAAAATAAACCAAAGTTAAAGTTAGAATTTAAATTTTCAAAGTTAATTTTGAAGTTGATTGTAAGACATTTTGAATGTAGTTTCTTCTTAGCGTTGGCTTTTAAGTCGCTAGAAAATCATACACAAAAGTTTTACCTACAAATTTACTTTTATGTCACTATGGAACACATATATGGGCAACCGATAAGGCTCTTATGGTTTTTTCTTATGAAAACAGCATAAACATATCCGCTTGTAACATTCACAAACTCACCCTATAAACGAACACACATATATTATCTTTATAAGCACCTTGGAAAGAGGAGAAGGTAGCAACTGACCTGAGAGTAGCGGAGGGAGGAAGATGACCAAAATGGCACTGTCTATCTTTTCTAGATGTACTAATTAAAGTATTTTAGTTTAGTTTAGTTTAATTAATGGTTGTTATTGCACCATGGTAGCTTGATCTTCTTGTGGGTTTGGATTTTACTAGTTGTTGTGTATTTAAGGTGTTTGCCTATATGTGATATCTTAACTACAAATGAGTTTTATGTAAGTTCGGTTTGGTTTATGGGATATAATTAAAGACTTGCTTAAAAAAGCAAGCTCATTACAATAATTGTAATTGGAACTTAATAATATCAATTTGATCTTAGAAATAAGATCCAATAATATGATTATTTTGGGCATAGAAGCGGATGATTTCTCCGGTTAAATTGGATTATTGAACAAGATATAGCACTTAGCTCAAGAATAATTTTAATTGGTAGCATAATAATAATAATAATAATAATAATAATAATAATAATAATAATAATAATAATAATAATAATAATAATAATAATAATAATAACAACAACAATAACAATAACAATAACAATAACAATAATAATAACAACAACAACAACAACAACAACAACAACAATAATAATAATAATAATAATAATAATAATAATAATAATAATAATAATAATAATACATTTAGATGTTGCTATTTTGACCTTCTCAAACATATTTTTTTTGTTTTGATTAAATTAGATAACGAAAATACTGATCGTACTAGTTGTTTTAACCCCAATAATGATACTACAAATAGGCATTCAAAGCGTATTCTATATGGTATGCTATATAGCTCTAAGCTAGCAAATGATATCTTGAACTTTTGGTCATATCGCGAAAGTCGAGGAGTTGAAATGCCAAAAGACGACATCGTGCAATCAAAACATAGGACAATAGTTACGTAAGAGGTCTGTCACATACTCGCATGATACATATCACTAAAATGGGTGGTGTCGCTTGGCCACCAATATATATTTAAGGTTTTTGGCTATATGTGATATCTTGACTATAAATGTATTTTATGTAAGTTTAATTTGATTTATGGAATAGAATTGAAGACTTACTTAAAAGTAAGCTTTTCACGATAATTGCACTCGAGACTTAATAGTCACTTGATCTTATAAATAAGATTCAGTAATAGTAGTACGGTTTTTTTTACATAGAAGTGAATGATTTCTCTGGATATATTGGATTGTTGAACAAGATATCTCGCTTAGCTCAAGAATGATTTTCAATTGGTAACATGTAATGGTAGATGTTGCTATTTTAACCTTCTGATTTTTTTTGTTGTTTAGTTTAAATTAGATAATTAAAAAACTGGTGGTACTAGTTGTTTTAACCCCAACAAGGGAGATAAAAATTAGGCATTCAAAGCGATATTCCATATGGTATGCTTTATAGCTTCAAGCTAGCAAATGATATGTTGGACTCTTGGTCATATCGTGGAAGTCGAGGAGTTGAAATGCCAAAAGACGATATCGTTCAATTAAAACATATGACAATAGTTACGTAAGAGGTCCATAGCATGATACAGTTCACTAATTTGGGCTGCTACTTGACCATAGGTGTTGTATGAGTTCTGTGCTGAAGATTGCCTTCTTACATCATATCATATCATATCATTGTAGAAAAAAAAGACAGTAAAATAATCCTATAACATATGAAAATACAGTAAAGTGTCTACATACAACTGTAGACGACAATATATTTTACCTACTTATATTTTTGATAAACTTTAAGGACTTCATGATCATCGATGGTAGGCTTGTCCATAAGTAGCCCCTGTAATGATGCTTGCTTCCACTTGTTTATAGGCAGCTACCAAAATACAAAGCTCAGTCTTTGTCTTCAAGGTGATGACATCAACATAAATAAAATTCCAAGTATATTCTCAAACAATATAGGGCATATTCACTTTATTGCCAAAGCATAAAACCTTATAATTCTTTGGTAATGTAAAATATTACCAAAATTTGGTAAGGTAAGATGGGGGCGGGTAGTGTTTACTTTATTACCTCATCAAATTTTTGAAATAGCTTGGAGATTAAAAAGTTATAGAATTACCAAAAATTAGTAGTGTTGTGTTAGTAATGGTACGTTTAGTTCCCGCCTTACTAATTTTTCGTATTAACAAAAATTTCAAAAGTTTAAAAATGATAAGAAAGTGAACAAGCTGGAGTAGTATTTTCTTGTGAAAATAAATGGAATACAACTAATTTTACCTGAAAAGATTATACCCCCAACAGCCCAACTCATTCTCAAAATCCTATAACTTCATCGTGACATGATCTAAGATGTCATTAAGCCATCAAGCAAACCCCCACTTCTAGACCAAAGAAAATGCGGCCAAGAATTCCGGAGCCATTCCAGGAAGGTTCTTTGCCGGATAGGTTGCATTTGGGAGAGGTAGTAGTGAACTTTTTCATGTGAAAATGCCAAACCCTACCTACTAGCTGATGCTGATAAGCCTAACAAAATCCCATCCAATCCTGACCTCACCTGATTCCTTTTAGCAGGCACAGCATTCAGAGAGAGATGGGCATTTTGGGTACACCTTCAGTTTTGCCGGCGCCGGCCGCATTCTGATCGGTGGAAGGAAGCCAGCCGGCGGCATCTGTCTGCTGCAGGCGTCCAAGCACCAATCCTAGCCTCCCCCAGTGCCTGTCTTGGAAGAAACCTGAATTTCCTCTCTTCTTCTCCATATGGTGGAAATAGTTGGTAATAGGAGTGAGTATATGCTGTGGTTATTCTCTTGTTCTACTTTTGGACCAATCTTTTTTTTCCTTTTTTTTAGAGTGGACCAATCAATCTGTTCTGTTGCTTGTCACCTTCCAAAATACGTACTCCCTCTATTTTATATTATAAGTCATTTGATTTTTTTTCTTAATCAAAGTTATTTAGATTTAACCAAATTTATAGATAAAATTAGCGACAATTAAGCAACCAAATTAGTTTCATTTGAACTTAACATTGAATATGTTTTGTATTGGAAATGTTACTTAATCAAATATAAAGAAGTTTAAAAAAAAGTCAAACGATTTATAATATGAAATGGAGAGAGCAGAAAATTCAGGGTGTTTTGTCCTGAAATTTATTTTGTTTGAATTTAGCAATATATAAATTGTTTAGATTCAGCGTAAATCTGTTAAAAAATCACAATATCTAATGAAGAATAATGGCCTTGTTCGGCTGAAACTTGTTTCCAGTAGGTTGTGTGTACAACTGCGGCAGTTAATTTCAGCCCGCTCATCCCTCGAAAACAAAATTTTTATTTCGAAGTAGTGAACCTGGAGTAGATTTGGTTCTTTAATTTGAATTAATATAAAGAAAACTCTACCTTGAAATTGTGTCCTATTCAGTAAAAAGGTGTTTTTTTTTGTCTTCGTGAGAGAGTAGGCTTGAAATTTGTTCAAGTAGGCGTTGACTGAAAAATCATGACTTAGCGTGGCGAAAGGAGCAAGCAACTGTGTTATACTACTCCTATATCTTAAGACAATTATTTTGGACAAATTTCATTTGAAAACCAGGGGATCAGTAAACTAATGCCTCTTGAAGAACCTCATGACATCAATATTTATCCAGTGTTTTGATTTTTCTATTCGTGCCCCCTGATCATCGTACTAACCAAAGTTAAGATGGAGGAATCTCCACGTAAGCACCGACTAGGCAGAGGAAACCAAATTCCTTTTTCTTTTTTCTTTCTCAGATGGACCAAGTTCCTTTGGATGGTTCTGGATTCCAATCAAGAAATTTAATTATAATTTATAACCAATTAATTCCCTGCAAGATAATCACTTTTTTTTCTCATTTATTATATGCTGGCTACTGTCCATTCGAACTATGAAAGGTCATGTAGCATATATAATGCATAATATTATGGTGATAAGGTGGTGATGATGAGTGAGACATCAGACAAGTTAACATCAGCATATGTGACACATGCAAACTTGCATAGGGTATCAGCCTCCCTCAGTTGAACACCTGTGAATTGTGATGGATTATATATGGGAATAATAATAAGCAGCTGTTCAGATCTAAGTAGAAAACTGCAGATTGATCTAGATGATGTTACATATCTGCAGGTGCAGAAAAAAATTCAGAGATGTTATTCCAAAGCAGAGTTTTGGTTTGGTTGATGGTATGATTCTTGTGTGGCTGGAATTGGTGGCTCAGCTAGCAGCTGGGATTTGGTACAAGCTGATTGGTTGGTGAGAAAGAGAAGAATATTAATTGGACAGTTAATCATGGGTTTATGCTTTGGAAGGAGGATTTAACAATGGATCAGATGCTTGATTGATTTATGAAATGTTGGGTGCAGAATCATATACCGAAAATCATATGAACCCCAGTTTTGACAATATGATAAAACTGATATAGAAATGAAGATGGGTGGCAAATATACCACGGTGTGGCCTGATTCAGAAGTGAGTGCATAATTAACCAAGGTTTGGTCATCTGAACCTATCAATCTATAATACATATCTTCATCGATCATCAGTAGCACGAGATTGTGATTGGGAGTATGACATACAACGCCGTGGTGATCCTCTCCACATCTTCTATTTCTATTAATTTTATCAGTTACTTGAAACAACCAAAATGATCCTGATAATTCAATCCAATTTTATCTGTAACGCGATCAGAGCAAAGACTGGAGCCAAACACAATACATCAATCGCCTGAATGACTGACACTTACGGAACAAGTCACTGTCAGGATGGAGATCTTTCTTGATGGCCGATCAACCGTCAGATAAAAGCACTTGCGTAGTAATACTTCGTAGTACCAAACTACTAGTACCAATTAAAATTCAGAGGTTGCACAACGCTTCCTGCCATTCTGCCAAGAAAACAGTAAAAATTATATGCTGAGAAACCAAACAATCATTCTTCCAAACATCATCGTCAAGCTCATGTTGAATTAAACCCCGGAATTCGCATGCAAGCCGCGTCGCCGTCAATATGATTGCATATGCCACTAGCGGATCAGCATGGTGTACCTAGCTCCAGCGATGGCCGGTCAGTACCTGTCTGGTTGGTAACTAAGGGTTGCTTCGGTTTGTGATCTAAATAGGCCTTACCAAATTTTATCATTACCAAATTTTGATAAGTTTTGACATGACTAATTTTGATAAGGCAAAGTTGTGTTTGGATTGAAGTCAAAATAGCCTAAGTTCACTATTGAAATGGCCTATTTTCTTAGGCATGCCAAAATTTGGCTTCAAACCAAATAGACACTAAACACTATTGAAATTGCCAAATATTGGTAAGCCTAATTTAGGCCTCAAACCAAACCTGCCCTAAATTTACCATATCTAACCTTAGGCAAGCCACAGTTTTAATAGATAGCGTTTGGTTCTTACCACAGGTCTTTTTTTTTTGTCTAACTCTTAACCACCTGGACACCTGGCCCACATGTCATACACTCTATTTTTTTGCCAAACATTACCTAAGCTTAGTTTGTCATTTTATTTACCACAAAAGTGTGGCAAGACTAAACTTAGCTACCTTAGTTAAAAATGTGTGGCAATATTAGTCCTTAATCAAACAGACAAGAAGCCGGTGCAGGCCAAGTTTGCTCAGCGGGTTTTTACAATTTTACTGTGCTAATTTTTGTATGACTTGAGTTATTTTCTTAAGTTATTAAATGCAATGTATTGAACTAGTATAGAATTAATTAGTATTATTATATGAGACATACTCCCTCATATAAAATTTATAATTCACAACGATGAATCTAGACATAGGTTACGTTTAAATTCAATATACAAATCAACATCGTCCCGCAGTAGCAGGAGATTGTGACTGAGACTATAACAGACAACGTTGTGGTGATCCTCTCCCTGTCTTCTATTTCAATTAAATTTATCAGTTACTTAAAACAGTCAAATAATGCTACTAATTCAATCCAATTCTACTTGTAACACGATCAAAGTAAAGACTGAAGCCAAAGACAATCAATCTCATCAATGACTGACTCGTACTGAACTGGTCCCTCCGTTTCATGTTATAATCATTTTGGGTTAGTGCTAAGGCTAAGTTCGTAATGGTTGTTTGGCCAAAATTTCTGGTGACACATAAAACGACACAATCATAACTATTAATCAAGTATTAATTATTACAAACTTGAAAAACCAATTTATTTGAATTTAAAAAAAACTTAAATGTAGAAAACTCTGGTATGATACATCATTTATATAGTAGTTTAGGAAGCGTGTCCACGGATAATGAGGAAATAGACGTTTCGAATTGCTGTTTAGAATTCAGCCTAAGTCAAATTTCTTTAAGTTTGATTAAGTTACACAGAGCAACATTTTCCATACAAAAAAAATATACTATAAAAATATATTTAGTGGTGAATTTATAATGAAAATAATTAGTGTTATAGATGTATTTTCATACTATAACTTGAAGAGTTTTGACTTAGATAATATGAAACGGACGGAGTAGCCATTGTCAGGGTGTAGATTTTTCTTGATGGTCGATCAACCGTCAGGTAAAAGAACTTGGGTACAAATTATGGCCAGTAAGATTCAGAGAATGCACAACGCTTAATTAACTACCATGAAAAACAGTAAAAAATTGCATGGTGGGAAACCAAACTTGAACTTATCCAAAAACAAACTTTTGCTACTGGTCAGTCAAACAAATGACTGTTAGGTGAGTAAAAACCAAGACCGCATATACCTTCTCCGAAAACATCATCGTCAAGCTCACGTTGGATTGAACCCCAGCATCGATCAATATTCAATAACAGAGATAGGGCCCAAGAATTGGAGGCGATGCAATAATCATGCAAGCTGCGTCGCCGTCGATACGATGAATACGCCGCTAGCGGATCAGCATGCTAGCTAGCTAGCAGTTCAGATCGACATCAAGCACGGCCGGCGAACCTATCAAGCTCCGGCGATGGCCGGCCGGAGACATATCGCCGGCGATGAAGAAGGAGGTTGTGAGCAGCAAGAAGCCGGCCGGTGCTTGCGCCGGCCATGTTTGCCCGGCGAAAAGGAATTTAAAGAAGCTGCACCGGGTTTTTTTAATTTTTGTATGTTCGCTAGCAATTATAATTCTTTAATAATTCAATAAACAAAATTAGATATTAATGTTGCTAATTTTTATGCGTTAAGTTATTTTCGGAGGTTATAACTCTCTTCATCCCAAAATATAGCAACTCACACTAGGTTGCTATATTTTAGGATATGGAGAGTAGATATATAAATTATGCTTTACTACATTTTTAGACATAATTTGTGTATCCAAACGTACTTCTCGTAGTCGTCTTTCTGGGATCATAAATTTACAATTTTTACCTGCAACACCGCAAAAAGATTTAAAATCAAATTACCAAACCATGCAACTTTTTACAATCTATACATTTTCCTTATGGGCCAAACATGGCAGGTCATCACCACATTTCTCATCTCCACCACCAACCAAATGAAAGGCCTTCAAAGCCTCTGCCTCCCAATCGGTTTGAAATGTAGCAAAGCCCACAGATATAAGGCAAACTACCTGGGCCGAGAGAAGCCCAAGACAAAGGCCCAGAAAGCCCATATCAAGCCCAAAAGCAAGCACTAGGGCTACAGGTGCTCCGACGAGGTAGAAGGAGTATAGGTTGATGGCCGCCCCGACAGCCGGCCTCGCACTGCCGCGTAGCACTCCACAACCGGTTGTCTGCGGACAATTGGCAAGCTCACATAATCCGATAACCGGTAGCACGCTTGTTGTGAGTGACTGTATTGTGGGGTCAGTGGTGAACACTTGGACCCATAGTCCTCGCCCAAATGTAGTCCATGTCAGCCCTACGCACGAGCCCATCATCGCAATTCCCATTGCTACTACGAATGAGACTTGGGCCGATCTCGGTCGGCCCGCCCCTAGCTCATTCGCGACTCGGGTTGAAACGGCTGAACTTAGGGTGACCGGAATTGTGTATAACAACGACGTGGTCTGGATGACGATGGCCGCCGTCGCCAATGCGGTGTGCGGGTCCCGGAGATAGCCGGCGGCGATCGTCATGAGCTCATACCACCACCACTCCAAGCACACGCTCAAGCAGCTCGGAAGTGACAACCGGAGCAGGTCGGCCCATTCAGCCCATTGCCCCACTCCGGCCCACTCCTCCAAATCGGCAGGCTCATCTGGCTCGTTCTGGGCCGGGGCCCACGTCAGCGAGATCCACAGGAACGCCAGCGTGGCGAAGCTGGTCATGCACGCGGCCATGGCGACGCCGGGCACGCGCAGCCGCGCACCGAGGTACGCGGTGGCCGGCGCGTGGACGAGCGCCACGGCGAGCGCCGCGCACGACGCGAGCCTCCGCGTCTCGCCCTTGCTGCGGAGGTAGACGCGCGCGGGGAGGAGGACGCTGGCGGCGGCGAGGTCCGGGATGGCGTAGCGGCAGTAGCTCCCCGCGGCGCGCGCCACGGCGGCGTCCTGGCGCGCGGCGCGCGCGGCGGGGCCCGCGCACGCCCAGAGCGCGGCGACGGGGAACGACGCGGCGAGGAGGAGCAGCACGGCTCGGCGCAGCGCGCGCCGCGGCCGGCTCCTCGTCCTCCCGGTCCCGGAGCCGAACGCCTGGCCGGCGAGGGGCTCCAGCCCGAGCGCGAGGCCGGAGAGCACCGAGTAGCCGGTGACGTTGGTGAGGCCGACGGCGAGCGCGCCGCCGGCGAGCTCGGCGCGGCCGAGGCGGCCCAAGCAGAGCACGGTGACCATGCTCTTGACGTAGTGGAGCAGGTTGAGCGCCGAGATTGGCAGGCACAGGCGCCGCATCAGCTTCAGCTCCTCCATCACCTCCACCACCACCAAGAATCAATCAAATTAAAAGCCATGGACACAAATCAAATAGATAACACTTTATTCCATCATTGGTGATGTTTAAACTTCAAAATAAGGTTATTAATTTCAAGATTTGTGAGTGTTAATTTGTTTGTACCTCGGACATGGAGGTGTGATTTGGAGCGTGTTCGTGGAGTGCTTCCACCATTTGCTGCTTGCAGTGGAGTTGGAGACTGAATTGAAGAGATGTTCAATGGGTGAGACTAGAGAGTGTGAGAATGGTTGAGATTGGCATGGACTATATATAGCCGATTATGCAGTCTTGCAGCATATATGTAGACGTTGTGATTATCTGCGTATATGTACATTTGCACGCAGAATGTATATGTACATGTTTGTTTTCATTTTGTTTGGTGGTCCTGTAAATTAGGAAAGGTTGTATTTTTCACAATATTTCCAAGGATCGATCAAAGGTGAAAGCCATTCAAATCGGTGTGAAACTAATTTGAATTTCATAGATTTGCTGTGATAATTTGTAATATCTCATGCCTAGGCCCATGTTAAATATTAAAGGTTGGTGTTTTCTCATAATTTTAAGCTTTGAGTCACTACCATAGAGCCACCTAGCATTGCTGGTTCAAAACCGATATCACTATCGGTTATCCACCCGGCAATCGGCTGGGGACAGTGTTGTTTGGGAGCAACACTGTTGGTTTTGGTTCTGGAACTGGCAGTGATACTCCATTCTCTCCGGTTTGGAGTCTATCTATTTATGGGGTAACGAGTGGACTTGATTGGTGGTGTACGAGAGAGATTGAACACCGGGATAATGCGCCTGCCCAATCTTGTAACATTTGAAATCGTGAATCATTTGGGGGAAATGTGATCAGGTAAATACTATAGGGAGAAAAGTTCAAAATATAGTAAAATGTGTCTTATTATATAACCACAATGTGTTTGGTGAAAAACCAAAAAAGTCACACGTGCATGAATGTGTGGCATGCATATTTGTATACCTATTTAGAACTTCCAAACACTATAATCATGAAGGATTGCTGTTTCATATATCTTATATATTACACTTCTAATCGGGTAAACGTGATAAATTTTTGAAATTTTGCTTGGGGGGTATATTTAAAACTCCTCCATTTTCGCCTGATTTCCACCTATATAGTAGTTCATACTCAACTAATTTGCAGATCAATATACTACCTCCGTTTTTTAATAGATGACGCCGTTGACTTTTTCTTACATGTTTGACCATTCGTCTTATTTAAAAAGTTTATGTAATTATAATTTATTTTGTTATGAGTTGTTTTATCACTCATAGTACTTTAAGTGTGATTTATATCTTATACATTTGCATAAAATTTTTGAATAAGACGAATGGTCAAACATGTGAGAAAGAGTCAACGGCGTCATCTATTAAAAAACGGAGGGAGTATATGCATGCATGAACGCATTCATGCTTGCAAGTGGAATGAAAGTTATTGCAGTTGCAGATACAAGAGGTTAATGTTGTATATATTTTGCAAATGCTCAAGTGAAGTTGGATTATTAGTGTGTTTTTTATTCCACCTGGTCATACAGCTAATTAATTAATTAATTAATGCCTTTCAAGTCTCAACCTTCTCACAGTCACTCTTCAGATTCTACAAAATCTACAAATCCACTGGCTGTAAATTTGATTGTCTAAAAAACAAGGCAAAGCCCCCTGCAGAAAATTATCGGAATGTCGTGTTTTAAAAAAGAATTTGAGAGCTTTTCAATGATCTGTATCCTCTCAATGACCATTCATAGAAGCTCCTCTTTAATTTGCATATATATCATAAGATTATCTTATCATATCATCAATTGATGATAATTAATAGTATATATAACAAGATCCACCACGACTCCATGAGTTGGCATGCATATGGTGCAGCATGTCCAAAATGTAGAGCTAGCTAGGGTACATCTAAGATGCATGTGTGGTGGACCAACTCTATTTTTTTCTTGGAGGACCAACTTATCTTACTGAAATTTTCATCCATATCGATCTTGAGCAGTAGTGCATCCTGCTACAGCTCACTCAGCTCGTCACGGAAACATATACTCCCTCCGTCCCATAAAAAAATAACCTAGTACCGGATGTGACACATTTTAATACTACGAATCTAGACATACATATGTTCAGATTCATAGTACTAGAATATGTCACATACGGTCCTAGATTCGTTTTTCATGGGACGGGAGAGTATAGTCTGTATTTCTTTCAAATCAAACTCTAAAACCTTCAAACATTAAAATCTTGAAATTTTTAGAATGTATACATGAAAAAACATAATTGTAAGTAGATTCTTCTAAAAAAATACTTTTATAATATTCATTAAGGTATGTAAATATATTTTATAATAAATTGGTGATCAAAGTTGTACCTCTATCTCAAAGAGCATAATTTATTTACTCGTTGCTGATATGATCAGGATTCACATTATTTGATCCAGGCCACGTGCCCAAGGAGTAGCTCTAGACCCACCAAGTTTTAGGGCTGGGGCACTCGATATGACACACAAACTAGTCACAATATATTCCACTGCCTTTGTCCCCTCAAAATGGAGCTAGCTCCTTCTCCCAATAAATATGTCACTACTTACAACTCCCAACCATGTGTGGCTAATTAATTAATCTCGCCTCTAAATTAATCAACTTCCTAGCCAAAGGATTGCAAATCTAACTTCAAGTGACATTAATTATTGGTGATCATCATAGTATCAACCATGTTGGTTTTATTCAGAGTACTAGACCTTGCATGCGTGCAATGCCATTCGCTAGTGTTTGAGCTGATAAATTTGATAAAAAGAACCATTTGAAGCGAGAGGGAGCTTTGCTGGATGCATACGTCGATCTCCGCTACGAACACTACTTCAATAGATCCACAAAATAAGCTAGCTATATCGTTTCATGTTCGAACTAATTAGGGGTTAATTTTCTCTTGTGCACTATTTTTACACCTCCTTATCTATGCAATTCCTAGGAATTGTGATGATTCGATCTGTGCTTCCATTTATGCAACGATCAATTGATCACCAATTAATATATGTGCATGGTTTGCCATCCTTACCTAAGCTAGGTTTTCACTTTTCACTACATCCTATTCATTGTTGCTTTTCTATTCCTCTAGTCTAAAAAGAAAAATGGATAATGATAGTGTTATAAAGCAAAGGAGCATATAGTGTAGCCCAAACATTGTACCACCTACATATTTATAAAAATGAGAAAATAAAGAATATCATATTTAAGGATGAAGTCATCACAATTATACTTTGAACTCATAAACAAAATACTCCATCCGTCCCAAATTGTAAGGCATTCATATTTTTTTTAAAAAAAATAACTACAATCTTTGACTTATAACTAAATTTAAAATATATTTGTACTTAAAAATATTTTCCTATAATACATTATACATTATACATTTTATCCATACTTAAAAATATTCTACTATAATATTAATTTTATATTATTGTCAAAGAAATTAGTATTCAATGTATAATGTTCGAGATCGTGTAAAAAAATATACGCATTTATAGTTTGGGACATAGGGAGTAATTAATTATTCATGTAGTTATCTTTGCTCTTTGTGGTGATTCTCTTCCTCATGTATGTGAATGTGTCTATACTCCCTACAAAGTTACAACACTATATCCTAGAGCTTAACATGTAAAGATGTCACATAATCATCCATTAGCAATTATTACAACTTAATTAATCCTCATGCAAAGGTGCTATATAATTTATATTTTATTATATTTTAAAGCTATAAAATATAAGTATGTTAGATCATCATTCCACACAATTTACATAATATTTCAACATATATCTCTCCATCATTTTCTGCAATATCCTATATACTTCGCCCCCACTTAGTGTTTTCTATCTTCTCTCTCATTAAACCACGTCACTTTAATTGTTTCTAACTTTAGATGATTAATTTACAGTCCAAATTATTTCCCCCATTTTCTTCTCTCATGAAGCCACATCACCTTACTTTTACTTTTGGATTATCAATCTAAATACTATTTAAATTATGATAAATCACATCAACTTAAGTGGTTTATAGCATTTTCCAATGATCAATCAAAAATACAAATTCTATAAGCTTACGTTGTCTAGCTATATTACACGCTATTTCTACTGTTATCATAGTAAACTCCCGCAACAACGCGAGGGCCGGTTTCATCTAGTTGTAGCCTATATAATACTACATCCGTTCGAGAATAAGTTACTTCCTCCGTCCCAAAATGTAATCATTTTTGAGGTTGGCACGGGTATTAAGAAAGTATGTGAGAATGATTGAAGAATGTGTGTGATTGGTTGAAAAGAGAAAGTAGGTGAAAAAGAATGGTTGTGATTGGTTGAGAGGAGAAGGTAGGTAGAAAAATAGCTTCATTTTGGGACAAAGTACTGTGCTAGAAATAGCTATATTTTGGGACGGAGGTAGTAGTCTATAGTACGTGATGTGTGACATATCCTAGTACCATGGATTTAGATAGGCGCTTACATTAAAAATTACTCCTAGTACGGGATGTGACTTATTATGGGAGGGAGGGAGTACTCATGGAATTTACTCCTACATTAACATGCATGAAATAACAACACTTGATACTGCATGCAGGATTGCAGGCAATGCTAACTACTCCTTCCGTCCCAATATATAAGAACTTAGGACCGGATGGAACATTTCCTAGTATCCTATCCAGTGATAGGTGCCTATCCAGATTTGTAGTATTGGGACGGAGGGAGTACTCAATTTCTGTATAGTACTTTCCATTAGCTAGCTCGTCATGTCGATCCCTAGCTAGGCTCGAACCAATCAGACATGCTAGCTAGGTGGTGCCCTCATCGCCAATCAATGGACAAGATCTAGCTGCAGTTCTGATCCAAACGGCATATGTCCTTTTGTGTACCTACCCCTGACCGGTCACAAAAAGGCAGCCATGTTCCCCTTCTACCCGGCGCGCACGGCTTTTACCTTAATCGAACTAAATCAGAACCAATACAATCATCCAAATTCGGATCAAGTGTCATCCAAATTTGGATCAAGTGGTGTAGTACTACAATGTTTGATACTACCTCTGATTCTATATTAATTGACGTTTTAGACAAGGTTGAGGTTAAATTTTTATAAATTTGACCATCAATAACTTTAAAAATATTTAGTTTAAAGAAACTAGAAAAACATATATAGATTTGTCTTTCAAAACACTATAATAAAATTAAAA